GAACTATCTTTATTTTTCCACCATCTTTGACGGGACGACAAATGCAGCCACATGGAGAAAATACATTTTCAACCGTGGCACATAGGTGGGGGTGTTTGTTTAATTTGGAACAAGCTTTTTTTAAAGATTTACCACTAGCAGTACAAATTGCATTTGAAACAAATCGGAGAATAGTTCAATTATCATTATTTGGAGCCCCTCCACCCCCAAGTTAGACTGTTGCATTTAGGGGGACGCATGTCTCATTCAGGCGGTCTGAGACCCCCCTTGGCCCTCCATAATCCGCACTCTGCTTTTACATGAAGACACACCCTCTTCCTTGCATGAAGGCATCTTCGGTTAGACCGGATGACTGAGGAGATTCAGAGCAACCCTTGAGAGATAACCATTGCCAGACATAACTGACCTGAGACCGGCTTTCTCTATCTAAAACCCCCAGGGGAAGACTTCTACTGCCCCAGAACAGTTGGTCACGTCTGTCTCTTTTGATAAGAGTTCTGCCAAGTAGGCTTCAATTCTGTTATTTTTAGTTTGTTGACTCTGGTGTTGACGACAGGAGGGGGTAGAATATTTTGATTCCATGCCAAAATGCTTAACAGGGTTCTATTGAAATCATGTTGGCATCTACCAATGGCAGCAATACAGTAGGCTTACATTTTAGTCATTTAGCAGATGCTCTTTTCCAGAGCGACTTAAAAGGAGCAATTAGGGTTAAGTGCTCAAGGGCACATTGGCAAATGTTTCACCAAGTCGGCTCTGGGATTCGAACCAGCGACCTTTCGGTTACTGGCCCAACGCTCTTAACCGCTAAGCTACCAGCCACCCCTCAGATGAGGTACACATTTGAACAGAAGGTAATGCTTGGAATCCAGCCAAGTGTGGTAAGTTTTATGTAGGTTATAGGCCAGCAGGCTCAAGAGATAAGAAGTTGTTCCAATGTATGCAGTGGTATATGGTCTGACTTCACATCAGCCACAGGGGCAGTGATACATCTGTCTATAAGGATCATCCAATCCCTTTCTGACAAGTCACAGGCTTCTATGTTCCAAGGGGAAATCCGTCATTTGTGCCATCAGGTGGTGAGATCCCATGGACTTTGTACTGACTGTCATCATGCAAATGGTATAGCAATGTAAACCAGTGGTTCCCAAACTGTTTTAAAAATGAACTCAGTCCAACTTTAAACTTACTCTCGAAATTGCGTAGTGCATCAGTTCCTCTTGTCATGTTAGTCATTGCATACCTTCGAGAGCTATTTATAACTTGTCAGAAATGTTCAGATCAACTAGCCAATGTCAGCTAATGTTTTTTTTTTAGCCCATAGATAGTTCACATTTTTTAGTCACTCAAATATCACATGAATACACATTAGACATTGCAAAATGTATAGCATTGCAAGAAAATTTGCTTTAAAACTGCAAAATGTTATTTGTACCCCAAGACAAATTTTGTAGAATTGCAGGAAATAAGCTTTAAAACATGCAACATTTTCTTCACCAACAAGACTGGTGTGAACAGTCAAGTCTCATGAACTGTGCTTGTGCCCATAGAAATAGACATGGGGCGTGCACGCAGAGGGGGCACAGGATGTTCCCCAATACTAGAAGGGAGGACCCCCCACGAGTGAAAAAGTTTGGGAACCCCTGGTGTAAACAACCTTGTACACATCAGGAAAAAAATCACATTGTGCTGGTCGCAATTGAGCATTGCAACATGGAGAGTGTTTGTTTTTTATTGACGTTGCACAACGGAAATAAATATCAACACAAAAAAAAACGGACAAATTAAGCAGTGAGGTCACTGCTTAATGCTTGTTAGTTAAGGCCTCGGGTGACACCACCAAACTTTCCATCTTAGCAGCAACTCGTAGTGTGTATTATTTTCAATTATTGTCTATGGCAGAATACAATGGTAATCACAAATCAAGTCTGTCGTTGCTTGTGTGTTCTGGTAACACTGACATGTCAGGAGAAAAGTTCTGCTATTGCTCAATTTAAACTTTGGTTTAAAAGACAGAGTTTAGTCTTACGAAATGCTCTAGTCCACACATCTCTTCTCTAATTTCACACAATGTAAAACAGTTTCCAATACTGTACCACTGTTCTCTCACCCTCAAGTACATACACACACTACATTTACATTTTAGTCATTTAGCAGACGCGCTTATCCAGAGCGACTTAAAGTTTTAGTGAGTGCATACATTTTTCATACCACATGACCAAAAGTATGTGGACACCTGCTCGTCGAACATCTAATTCCATGCATTAATATGAAGTTGGTGCCCCCTTTGCTGCTATAATTGCCTCCACTCTTCTGGGAAGTCTTTCCACTAGATGTTGGAACATTGCTGCAGGGACTTGATCAATTCAGTCAGCCACAAGAGCATTAGTGAGGTCGGGCACGGATGTTGGGCGATTAGGCCTGGCTCACAGTCGGCGTTCCAATTCATCCCGAAGGTGTTCGATGGGGTTGAGGTCAGGGCTCTGTGCAGGCCAGTTAAGTTCTTCCACACAGATCTCGACAAACCATTTCTGTACGGACCTCGCTTTGTGCACGGGGGCATTGTCATGTTGAAACAGGAAAGGGCCTTCCCCAAACTGTTACCACAAAGATGGAAACAGAATTGTCTAGAATGTCATTGTATGCTGTAGCGTTAGAATTTCCCATTACTGGAACTAAAGGGGCCTAGCCCGAACCATGAAAAACAGCCCCAGACTATTATTCCTCCTCCACCAAACTTTACATTTGGCACTATGCATTGGGGCAGGTAGCATTCTCCTGGCATCCGCCAAACCCAAATTCGTCCGTCGGACTGCCAGATGGCGAAGCGTGATTCATTCCTCCAGAGAACGCGTTTCCACTGCTCCAGTCCAATGGCGGCGAGCTTTACACCACTCCAGCCACGCTTGGCATTGCGCATGGTGATTTTAGGCTTGTGTGCGACTGCTCGGACATGGAAACCCATTTCATGAAGCTCCCAACGAACAGTAATTGTGCTGACATTGCTTCCAGAGGCAGTTTGGAAAATCGGTAGTGAGTGTTGCAACCGAGTACAGGTGATTTTTACGTTCTACGCGCTGCAGCACTCGTCAGTCCCATTCTGTGAGCTTGTGTGGCCTACCACTTCGCGGCTGAGATGTTGTTACTCCTAGACGTTTCCACTTCACAATAACTGCACTTGACCGGGCAGAAACAGCTCTAGCAGGGCAGAAATTTGACGAACTGACTTGTTGGAAAGGAGGCATCCTATGACAGTGCCACATTGAAAGTCACTGAGCTAATCAGTAAGGCCATTGTCCTGCCAATGTTTGTCAATGGAGAATGCATGGCTGTTAACTCAATTTTATACACCTGTCAGCAACGGGTGTGGCTGAAATAGCCGAATCAACTAATTTGAAGGGGTGTCCACATACTTGTAGATAAGTACACAAAACACACAATTAATATGGTTTAAAAGTACAAAACGTTTCCCTGCGTTAGCGCATTCGGAAAGTATTCAGACCCCTCGACTTTTTCCACATTTTGTTACAGCCTTATTCTAAAATTGATTAAATTGTTGTTTTTTCATTAAAGTAAAAACATTAATTTTTTTGCAAATATATAAATTAGAAACTGAAATATTTACATTTACATAATCACATTTACATAAGTATTCAGACCATTTACTGAGTACTTTGTTGAAGCACCTTTGGCAGCGATTACAGCCTTCTGTCTTCTTAGGTATGACGCTACATGCTTGGCACACCTGTATTTGGGGAGTTTCTCACATTCTTCTCTGCAGATCCTCTCAAGCTCTGTCAGGCTGGATTGGGTGCTTCGCTGCACAACTATTTTCAGGTCTCTCCAGAGATGTTCGATCGGGTTCAAGTCCGGACTTGGCTGGGCCACTCAAGGACATTGAGACATGTCCCGAAGCCACTCCTGCGTTGTCTTGGCTGTGTGCTTAGGGTCGTTGTCCTGTTGGAAGGTGAACCTTCGCCCCAGTCTGAGCTCCTGAGCGCTCTGGACCAAGTTGTCATCAAGGATCTCTCTGTACTTTACTCCGTTCCATCTTTCCCTCTATCATGACTAGTCTCCCAGTCCCTGCCGCTGAAAAACATCCCCACAGCATGATGCTGACACCACCATGCTTCACCGTAGGGATGGTGCCAGGTTTCCTCCAGACGTGACACTTGGCATTCAGGCCAAATAATTCAATCTTGTTTCTCATGGTCAGAGTCCTTTAGGTGCCTTTTGGCAACCTCCAAGCAGACTGTCATGTGCCTTTTACTGAAGAGTGGCTTCCGTCTGGCCACTATACCATAAAGGCCTGATTGGTGGAGTGCTGCAGAGATGGTTGTCCTTCTGGAAGGTTCTCCCATCTCCACAGAGGAACTCTGGAGCTCTGTCAAGAGTGACCATCGGGTTCTTGGTCACATCCCTGACCAAGGCCCTTCTCCCCCGATTGCTCAGTTTGGCCAGGCAACCAGCTCTAGGAAGAGTCTTGGTGGTTCCAAACTTCTTCCATTTAAGAATGATGAAGGCCTCAGTGTTCTTGGGAACCTTAAATGCTGCAGAATTGTTTTGGTACCCTTCCCCAGATCTGTGCCTCGACACAATCCTGTCTCGGAGCTCTACGGACAATTCCTTCGTCCTCAGGGCTTGGTTTTTGCTCTGACATGTGCTGTCAACTGTGGGACCTCCTATAGACAGGTGTGCCTTTCCAATTAATTGAATTTACCACAGGTGGACTCCAATCAAGTTGTTGAAACATCTCAAGGATGATAAATGGAAACAGGATGCACCCGAGATCAATTTCGAGTCTCATAGCAAAGGGTCTGAATACTTATGTAAGTAAGGTATTTTATTTTTAATAAATGTGGAAATATTTATAAAAACCTGTTTCCGCTTTGTCATTATGGGGTATTGTATGTAGATTGATGAGGATTATTTTTTTTATTGAATCCATTTAAGAATAAGGCTGTAACGTAACAAAATGTGGAAAAAGGTAAGGGGTCTGAATACTTTCCGAATGCACTGTATTTATCATTCTATTCATTCACTCAAGTACCTCTCGATTAAGAATTCAGATAATGTAGTTTTTGGAGTATATACTGTATGGTATAATACTGTACTTAAGTACTTTCTGGTGTTTCTTTTGAGTGAAAAGTTATCAATAACAGCACCAGGGAAGAAAAGTCAAAAACTCAGTCGGTGGCTGTCGCCACGGTTACTTTGCGCGTTGTTCCTTGTCGGATTGCTCCTCGGTGGGTTGCTCTGCAGGTTGCTCCGTGGGTTGCTCCTCCGGAGGGTTGTCAAGCAGCTCAAACATGTCGTCGATGACCTGCCACAAGCAGTTGTCCAAAGGGAAGTCGTTGTCCACCAGGTTGACCAGGAAGTAGTTGTCGTGGATGTACTTGATGATCATACGTGATGGGGACTCGTCCTCGTACAGCTTGGCCCACTGCTCGATCCACAGGGCAAAGGCCTCGTCCTATTAAAAGAAGGCGTGAACAAAAACTCAACACATTTTAGAAGGGGGGGGGGGGGGGGGGGGTATTTCAGGCGCGTCACCACAGATTTATCTTTACAGCTCTGATAAAACTTCATTAGCAAGCTTAAATCAGTTACACACAAAATACTGGTTTTGAAAATGATTATTTGAAAGGGCTTCACGGGAGGTTGTGTCAAATGCTCAAGCTCAAAGAGACGATGTGGAGGATTCAAAACTATACTTCAAATACCATACTCCACTAAAATCTCTGAAAATGTTAATAGAGAACTAATGACAACCATTCCACGAACTCATCTGAGTCATGGGCACTGTCCACAACCAGAAACAACCCCTAGCACACTCCATCTTGCTGATAGGTGTTTTCACAGAATTGCTTACACCTATCCAGTTGTTTCATACCTACACAAGTGCATAATGGGTAATGTTCCTGGAAGGGGCCAGTAGGTTAATGAGATGACCTTTGACCTTACCTTCCAGTACAAGAAGCTGACTGGATCCACCACGGTGGGCTGGACAATCTCCCTGCCGGGGAAGATGCCCCATGTCACAGCGTTGGGTTGCATATCATGGGCGTTCGTAGTATTCTGACCCTGTAGATGGATACAATCAGCCAGTAGATCAATCTAACAAACAGTTTCAATTCACAAAATAGGTGTAGATGTAATACGTGTAGTTGAGAACTTACGTGAACGTTGACGATGTGGTAGTTGACGCGAGGCTCGTACTTCTTTAACACTTTGAGGAGAGCAGTGACGTTTTCGCTCGAGGTGAAAAATTCCAGATAGGCCTGTTAGATTTGCAAACGTGGCACAGTAGAAGGTTCATGTCATTACATGATGAGTATGCATGTGATACAAGAACTGTAACTAAGTTTGAAAAACAAGATTACCACAAAAGACTGATTTATTCATGCGGATTCATTTCAAGGAAAGATTGTGAATCAAAGTACTCTCAACAACATAAGAAAAACAGGGACAGCCTTAAATTTAGCTAAACCAGTAGTAATCCTTGGTAATTCTAATGGCTTTATGGGTATTTCTAAATAGTGTTCAAAGTGTACATCCCCCTGCCCACTCCCTTTACTAGGCCTACCTTATTATTTTTGTAAAAATTTACTTTAAGCATGCAGGTACAGTAATATAAGCATTATGAGCCTTTATAATGTCTTACAATAAGACAACCAAACCACAGATGCCTAACTTCACCTTCTGGAAGACGTAGCCACCAGGGGGGCCCCAGCCCACGATGGGGTCTGAGGAGGGCTTGCCGTTGATGCTGGGCTGGGAGTTGATGGTAAGGACTCCCCTGCGGTTCACCTTGTCCAGCTCGTCCTTCAGCAGGTTGGTCTCCGGGGCCAGCGGGTCGTCATTCCACGGCAGACACATCACCTAGGAGACGCGAGGTCAGGAGGCGTCAGCCAAGCAAAGTGCAAGTCAAGGGTTTAGGTTCTTGTTTTAAGTGCTTGTCATAATGCACATGGGTTGTATTTATGAGGCGCCTAACGAAAGAAAGCTGACAAACGTTTCGGTCTGTTTTCACTCGAAAGTGTAGAGGGCCGGGTGTCACCTTGTGTCCAGCGACATTGGGCTGGGCCGTGATGTAGCTGGTGAAGACCTCGTAGACGCTCTGCTCGCTTGTCAGCTCCTCGCCCCACATCTTCAGCAGGGTGTCCTTGGATGACTTACTCTTAAGGTAGAACAGGTAGTAATCGTTGAGTTCACCAAAGGCCGGAGAGGACGAGTTGCCCCTGAAATAACCGAGCCAAGCTGATAAGTCCTGGGAACATTGCCTGTTCACTGATTATACAGTTTTGTTCACGTTATACAGCACTTATTCACATCACAGTATAGCTTGGCCCAGTCCAGTAGTGTGAAAAGGCCTTGAATTAACAATATAATTTACGGCCACAAACTAGCCAAGGTGAGAAATTCTGGCCACTCAAGGTGATTTCTCTGAAGTTTCTCTCCAGTGTTGCTCACCATCGTCCATTGGGGAAGTCATCCCAGTCCTGTGTTCTGTAGATATAGCTCTTGGGTCTGGAGGCCCAGAAGATGGGCCGCACGTCCTCCACTTTGCGTTTGGGGTGAGCGCTCACCGCCCAGGGGAGTGTCCGCCTGGCAACACAAGTAGACACAAAACCGTTCATCAGTACTAGGAACGGGCAAGACAGCACCTATTCCATTCTAATACTTAGCCAGTTAGATTTCACCATGTGGAAGTTATTTCTTTGTTAAGTGTTCAAGGACTAATGAAAGTGCTGTCACACACACACACAAACACACGATTACAAATGGTACCCACACTTTGTGTGAAAACGTGACATCTCAGAAGTCTAACATGCCATTAGTGATTGGGTTTCCCCCTAAATACTGGGTAAGCTAAATCAAGCGCAACCTAAAGTATTTGAAAGAAAACCGATCTAGGGCGATTTTGACAAACCTGGGGTCCTCAATCCACAGACCCAGCTGCCGCAATACCTCCATGGTGGCCACCTCACGGTTCAGCGTGTAGAAGTGGAGGCCCGGCACCTCGCCGCTCTCCAGCAGCACGCGGCACATGCCCACAGCCTGCTCGATGCCGTAGTTGCGGATGGCCGCGTCGTTGTCCTTGATGGGCTCGATGACCCGCATGATCTCCTCGGGCACTTCCAGCTTGGACAGTTTGACCAGCTGCCTCAGAGACTGGTATCCCTGGAGACATGGAAAACCACAAATCCTACTGGTTCAGGTACTGACAGAAAAACAAATAAAGAAATAAAGGATGTCTCCATGCAATTGATGTACACATTGCAAAGACATTTAAAGACAATGAAAAAGGACAAATACACATCACGGTGGGAGTGTTATATTTCTGTATTGCCTGGCATCAATGTGGAATTGATTCAAATTCCAAGGGACAAATGGTGCGACTATAAGAAAAGGTTGTTTTGAGTCGCACTGAATGTACTTGGTAATTTGTTACACCGTTGCTGGCTATCACATTAGAAAGAATGTTCTGTTCAAAGAGCCTGTTACAAAGTACACCCACGCTACCCCTCCCTTTTAACCTTAGACAAATGTAGCCTTTGATCACACCACACACGCACACATCCACGTCCCAGTTTAGGCCCATGTCCCACAGTACCTGGATAGGGAAGATGCCTGGTAGGATGGGGCAGGTGATCCCTATGGCCCTGCAGTCCCTGACAAACTTGAGGAAGGTGTCGGCCCGGAAAAAGAGCTGGCTGATGATGAAGTCGGCCCCAGCGTCCACTTTCTCCTTCAGATGTCTCAGGTCCTCGTCGTAGCTCTCCGCCTCCGGGTGGCCAGTGGGGTAGCCTGCCACAATGAAAGGGTTTTAAACGCTCAGTGTGTGTGTGTGTGTGTGTGTTTATTCAGGTCACATTTGTGACCAGTTTCAAGAATATAGGCATATGTCACAGGAGAGGCATTTTACCCCAAAAACATAATAAAAAAATAGTTTTGGGGCAGAAATGCCTTCTGGAACATGTGAACTTTCATGTGCCTTAATAACAAACTTGTATGCCATGTGTAAATACAAGTAAAAAAATAATTACGAGCGTAGTTGGTTTAGCCACGGAAAAATACTGGAACCTTCCCTCTAGCCATGATTGGCTGAGATAATGGATGGGCTGGACATGCCCGAGAGATGAGTTTGGATTGTCTGCCATGTAGCATGCTTCTGTCTATATCATGAGCTGCTCAGTATATGTGGATAATCGTTTCTACCGTGGCTTTTTTTAAAAATATATTTGATTGAATTTATTTGACAATTTGTAAAATACATACATAAGGGCGCTCCAGCCGGTGATGCTTCCACATACAATCTAAGACAATCATCAAGGATAACACAATAAAGCTTAACAGCTTATTTCCATAGTGGTCCTTTTGAAGAGGGAAGGGGGAACAGGGAATGCAACGAGGTTAGGCGGCAATTGTAATGGCAACAGACAATGACAGACAAATTGTTGTTTGTACTAATTCTCTCATGTTATGAAACAATTTCCTTTCCTAATAAAACAACTATGGACAGGTACATCTCCCTTGTCTCACATACCGTTAATACTTAATATATACAAGACAATCACAATATAATAAAAACAACAGGCACCAAAAGGCAGACCATATGCTATCCCGGGTATTTCCTTCTCAGCCACGTACGATAATCTTATGACTCACTTTTGAGACATGCTACTATTTAGCCCTTCTTTCATTGAAAACTTGAAACTACCTATGGCAGTTCTAAGTTTAAAATGTTTCTGAAGACTATTCCAAAGAATGGCAGCTGAGTATATAAAAAAAGTGTATTTCCCCATACCACTTTTAAATCTAAAAAGGAACAACGTCAGTTTCACTCCTTCTAGTGGAATAGTTATCCCGTACTAAGTTAAAGTAGTTACATAGGTACCTGGGGACCATACTGTGGACAAGCTTATGTACAAGACTATTTAATCTGAGCGACTCTCTCCTCCACTTTGAGACATCTAAGGCTTTCAAAGTGGGAATAGTCAAGATGTGTAAGTGCTGGAAGGATAAGAATAATCCTGACTTATTTGTTCTGAGATGTCTGCAATTTATTTTTTATTATCTTGGGGGCACGGTTGTACCAGGAAGAGCATGTATAGTCAAATGTCCCCATTGCATTAAAATCAAATTGTATTTGTCACATACACGTGTTTAGCAGATGTTATTGCGAGTGTTGCAAAATGCTTGTGCTTCTAGCTCCGACAGTGCAGTAATATCTAACAATTTCACAACATATACCCAATACACACAAATCTAAGTAAGGAATGGAATTAAGAATATATACACACCTATATGGACGAGCAATGACAGAGCGGCATGGACTAAGGTCCAATAGAATATTATAGAATACAGTATATACACATATGAGATGAGTAATGCAAGATATGTAAACATTATTAAAGTGACTACTGTTCCATTTATTAAAGTGGCCAGTGATTTCAATAGGCAGCAGCAGCCTCTAATGTGCTAGTTATGGCTATTTAACAGTATGATGGCCTTGAGATAGAAGCGGTTTTTCAGTCTCTCGGTCCCAGCTTTGATGCACCTGTACTGACCTCGCCTTCTGGATGATAGCGGGGTGAACAGGCAGTGGCTCGGGTTGTTGATGTCCCTGATGATCTTTTTGGCCTTCCTGTGACATCGGGTGCTGTAGGTGTCCTGGAGGGCGGGTAGTTTGCCACCGGTAATGCAGTCGGCAGAACGCACCATCCTCTGGAGAGCCCTGCGGTTGCGGGCTGTGCAGTTGCCGTACCAGGCGGTGATACAGCCCGACAGGATGCTCTCAATTGTGCATCTGTAAAAGTTTTAGGGTTTTAGGTGCCAAGCCAAATTTCTTCAGCCTCCTGATGCGCCTTCTTCACCACACTGTCTGCGTGGGTGGACCATTTCAGTTTGTCAGTGATGTGTACGCCAAGGAACTTGAAGCTTTCCACCTTCTCCACTGTGGTCCCATCGATGTGGATAGAGGGTGCACCCTCTGCTGTTCACTGAAGTCCAAAATCACCTCCTTTGTTTCGTTGACGTTGAGTGAGAGGTTTTTTTCCTGGCACCACACTCCCAGAGCCCTCACCTCCTCCCTGTAGGGTGTCTCGTCATTGTTGGTAATCAAGCCTACTACTGTTGTGTCATCTGAAAACTTGATGATTGAGTTGGAGGCGTGCTTGGCCACACAGTCATGGGTGAACAGGGAGTACAGGAGGGGGCTGAGCACGCACCCTTGAGGGGCCCCAGTGTTGAGGATCAGCGAAGTTTCCTACCTTCACCACTTGGGGGCGGCCCATCAGGAAGTCCAGGACCCAGCTGCACAGGCCGGGGTTCAGACCCAGGGCCTCGAGCCTAATGATGAACTTGGAGGGTACTATGGTTTCGAATGCTGAGCTATAGTCAATGAACAGCGTTCTTACATAGGTATTCCTCTTGTCCAGATGGGATAGGGCAGTGTGATGGCAATTGCATCATCTGTGGATCTATTTGGGCGGTAAGCAAATTGAAGTGGGTCTAAGGTGGCAGGTAAGGTAGAAGTGATATGATCCTTGACTAGTCTCTCAAGGCACTTCATGTTGACAGAGGTGAGTGCTACGGGGCGAGTCATTTAGTTCAGTTACCTTTGCTTTCTTGGGTACAGGAACAATGGTGGCCATCTTGAAGCATGTGGGAACAGCAGACTGGGATAGGAAGAGATTGAATATGTCCGTAAACACACCAGCCAGCTGGTCTGCGCATGCTCTGAGGACGTGGCTAGGGATGCCGTCTGGGCCGGCAGCCTTGCGGGGGTTAACATGCTTAAATGTCTTACTCACGTCGGCCACGGAGAAGGAGAGTCCACAGTCCTTGGTAGTGGGCCTCGTCGGTGGCACGGTGTTATCCTCAAAGCGGGCGAAGAAGGTGTTTAGCTTGTCCGGAAGCAAGACGTCGGTGTCGGCGACCTGGCTGGTTTTCCTTTTGTAGTCCGTGATTGTTTGTAGACCCTGCCACATACGTCTCGTGTCTGAGACGTTGGAGGTTCTTGCCAGAAACTTAATTTTATGGTTCACTTTGGAGATAAAGTTTTGTGCCATGCTCTCCCCAGTCAGATGTTTATCTACCACACATCCAAGATACTTAACAGAGTATTTTGCTGCGACTACTATGTCACCTACTACACCACCTTAAAATAAATCTGGGAATTTCCTCAGTTTCACCTTGGACCCGAACAAGATGGATTCTGTTTTTCCAAGGTGAAGTGACAGCTTACTGTCATGTTGCCATTTACTGACATTCAGAAGTTCAGCACTGAGGGCTTTCTCAACCACATTTTTGTCTTTGTGGGACACCAGCAGCGCAGAATCATCTGCATATAGGAAAAGGTCACATGTACAGGCAGATTTCAGATCAGATATAGACACACACACACACACACACACTAGAAAGAAAAGTGGACCCAGCACACTCCCTTGGGGTACCCCACAGTTCAAGATTTTGGGTTTAGACAGGGTCCCATCCACAATCACCTTGCAGGTAAGCGCTAACCAATTCTCTCTTAGTTTGATTAACAGAATATCATGATCCACTGTATCGAACACCTTTTGGAGATCAAACATAACCATACCATAAAAAAATGTCCTTCCTTATGTAGTCAGTTAGATATAGTAGGCAAGTGTCGGTGGAATGTGATTTCTTACAGCCAGATTGGAGCTCATAGAATAGGTTACGTAAGGAAATATAACGGTCAATCTGCTTGAACACAATCTTTTCCATGACCTTCGATAAAACACACAGGATTGAGACAGGCCGATAGTTATGATATAAGTATTCCCTTTTTTTATATAGAGGAATTACCGTTGCAAATTTTAGTACACTGGGAAAACACCCTAGTTCAATAGACCGATATCATGAAGAACTGAAAGTGTTGTTAATAGCACCATCAACAAAGATCAGCAGGAAAAAGTTGTGATGGACTACTTTCTGGAGGACTCTGAAAATTAAATAGATGAGGAAATCCCTGATTTCGTTAATTTTTTTATATCATTGAACCAAACATTGTATAGTCTTCCCCAATCACCGTCATCAGAAGAAACGTCAATTAACAGTGTTGTCACTGATGAAGTTGACCGAGTTTTGAAATCAGTGGGATGCCTGGTGGAAGCAGAGAGATGATTCCCAAACTCTGAGTCTCGAAAAGAGAACATAGGAGGCTGTTGTACAAAACACCTGTCTCCGGATTACGTATTCAAACTAAGGGGAACCATTGCATCCATGACAGAGGGAGAAGCGTTCATCCATGTATACGGGTAGCTACATTTTCAGATATTAGTTACCAACTTTGTCAGAAAGTTGTCTTCCTTGCAAGTTAAAGCCTACAACCCCACACATGAATGGTCTCAGGATGCTTTCCTGTTGGCATGACACAGGACTGATGGTAGCGCTCACCCAGTCTTCTCCGGACAAGCTTTTTTCCGGATGCCCCAAACAATCGGAAAGGGGATTCAGAGAAAATGACTTTACCCCAGTCCAATCCCTGTACCTTTTTGCAGAATATCAGTCTGTCCTCGCTGCCCTTCTTGACACCAGGCCATCCTCCAAAAGTCTTCGCCTCACTGTGCATGCAGATGCACTCACACCTGCCTGCTGCCATTCCTGAGCAAGCTCTGCACTGGTTGTGCCCCGATCCCGCAGCTGAATCAACTTTAGGAGACGGTCCTGGCTCTTGCTGGACTTTCTTGGGCGCCCTGAAGCCTTCTTCACAACAATTGAACCTCTCTCCTTGAAGTTCTTGATGATCCGATAAACGTTTGATTTAGGTGCAATCTTACTAGCAGCAATATCCTTGCCTGTGAAGCCCTTTTTGTGTAAAGCAATGATGACGGCACGTTTTTCCTTGCAGGTAACCATGGTTAACAGAGGAAGAACAATGATTTCAAGCACCACCCTCCTTTAAAGCTTCCAGTCTGTTATTCTAACTCAATCAGCATGACAGAGTGATCTCCAGCCTTGTCCTCATCAACACTCTCACCTGTGTTAACGAGAGAATCACTGACATGATGTCAGCTGGTCATTTTGTGGCAGGGCTGAAATGCAGTGGAAATGTTTTTGGGGGAATTAATCATGGCAAAGAGGGACTAATCTGATCACTCTTCATAACATTCTGGATTATATGCAAATTCCCACCATAAAAACTGAGGCAGCAGACTTTGTGAAAATTAATATTTGTGTCATTCACTCCAGCATCTCACTGGTCATCCCCAAAACCAACACCTCCTTTGGCCGCCACTCCTTCCAGTTCTCTGCTGCTAATGACTGGAACAAACTGCAAAAATCTCTGAAGCTGGAGACTCTTCTCTCCCTCACTTACTTTAAGCATCAGCTGTCAGAGCAGCTTACCGATCACTGCACCTGTACACAGCCCATCTGTAATTAGCCCACCCAACTACCTCATCCCCATATTGTTATTTATTTTGCTCATTTGCACCCCAGTATCTCTATTTGCACATCATCTATCACTCCAGTGTTAATACTAAATTGTAATTATTTAGCTCTATGGCATTTTATTGCCTTACCTCCATAACTTACTACATTTGCACACACTGTATATAGATTTTCTATTGTGTTATTGACTGTATGTTTTTGTTTATCCCATGTGTAACTCTGTGTTGTTTTTAAAATCGCACTGCTTTGCTTTATCTTGGCCAGGTCGCAGTTGTAAATGAGAACTTGTTCTCAACTGGCCTACCTGGTTATCTAAAGGTGAAATAAAAAAAAATCTCAACTTTTGACCACGACTGTACTTTCCCACTTTTAGTCTTGAAATCTTTGGTTGTTTACTACACTACCGTATTCACGCTGTTTAGCACATGGCCTCACAAGTGAATCCTTAAAGAGATGGGTGGGGCTAACGCTTAAGAGGGTGTGTGAACGATGCTGAATGGGTGTAGACAAAGAAGAGCTCTCCAGTAGGTGTACCAAAACATTAAATGGGCCAGTTTCTCAAAAGTGGGGTTACAAGTTTATCAACTTTCAAAGCAGAATTACTTTCCCCATTGTTTCTCAACTGCAGTGTATGATACACAATTTTCTAACTCTGAGTCTCTACTTTTATCCAATGTAAAAAACACCATCTCAAATGATGCTACATAGGACCGAATCCAGGTGGTGAGTCACATTTTACCAACAACTTGTAGCATTAAATGGCTTTTGGGGTGATAAAATGCTCACATCGTATTAGTAGGTACAACAGCCTACTTTAATGTCCTTCACAAATTACCTGATATAAGGATATATTACAACATGATGAAGCTTTGTAAAAAACAAAAAAGTAATTTAGCTTCAAACGTACCGGCAACACAGATGTCAAAGTAGTCGTCAAACTCGGAGCGTATATGTTTGACTAGGTCTGTGGCGTAGTTGAAGCCTGCTTCTTCCTCTTCCCAGTCAGCCCCCATGGGATCTATAAAGAGATTAGGAAAACATAGTGTTTAACAGGAATTTGTCACAATGAGACCTAGCTAGTTAGCCAGGACTCTTGAAAAAGACATCTCAATGAGAAAAACCTGGATAAATAAGGTTTAAATTGAGACTCAGCGATGTGACCACGAGCATAAATGTGAACCAAAAAATATTGCAGAGTGAGAGCGATGCAAGAGGCAGCAAGGTAAAGTTCTGAACCAAGATATTGAAGAGTGAGTGTGATGCAAGAGACTGCAATGCAAGCGATATGACGTGACCTTGAGCAACAATGTGAACCAAAGATATTGCTGAGTGAGAGTGATGCAAGAGGCTGCAATCATGCAAGTGAACAGGAATTCACTTCACTCTCCGAAATATCAGGCTGACCCTCAGGCTATTTTAATACAACACCTAAACATTCATACAAATGGACCAACCCTGCTCTGTGTAGACGTTGTCCCAAGGATCAGCTCACCCTCCCCAAATCCTAACCTTAACCATTAAGGTGGAACTGACAGCATTTTAGCAACATGAAATAAAAAAAATGTTGGTTGATGTTACACCTTTTTTTTCCACTGTTTTTTTCTGAGAAGCAAGCACTTAGACATGGTAATTTTCACAGAATGTTTGAGATTGACAGAGCAAGGCATTTGTGAAAATTCTATAGCAATATATAGTGGGAAAGCGGCCGTGCGTTTGACAATTGATAAGACACTTCGGTAAAAAAAAACATGTCTTGTCCAGGAGCCAATCAGATAGGCCATGTGGCAAAATACTTATTTGCATATAGGCCTGCCATCATTCACTTTGAACTGGACTGTTTGTCTACAGGCAGTAGCAACAGCGTGACTTTAGATCATTAGAAAGCATTTACTTAAAGCCACAAAACACATCTGGTCGCTTTAGATTATTTTTTGGTCGAGCAGTAGCATGCAAACACATCCATCATATACAGTGAGGGAAAAAAGTATTTGATCCCCTGCTGATTTTGTACATTTGCCCACTGACAAAGAAATGATCAGTCTAATTTTAATGGTAGGTTTATTTGAACAGAGAGACAGAATAACAACACAAAAATCCAGAAAAACGCATGTCAAAAATGTTAAATTGATTTGCATTTTAAATGAGGGAAATAAGTATTAGACCCCCTCTCAATCAGAAATATTTCTGGCTCCCAGGTGTCTTTTATACAGGTAACGAGCTGAGATTAGGAGCACACTCTTAAAGGGAGTGCTCCTAATCTCAGCTTGTTACCTGTATAAAAGACACCTGTCCACAGAAGCAATCAATCAATCCGATTCCAAACTCTCCACCATGGCCAAGACCAAAGAGCTCTCCAAGGATGTCAGGGACAAGATTGTAGACCTACACAAGGCTGGAATGGGCTACAAGACCATCGCCAAGCAGCATGGTGAGAAGGTGACAACAGTTGGTGTGATTATTCGCAAATGGAAGAAACACAAAATAACTGTCAATCTCCTTCGGCCTGGGGCTCCATGCAAGATCACCTTGTGGAGTTGTAATGATCATGAGAACGGTGAGGAATCAGCCCAGAACTACACGGGAGGATCTTGTCAATGATCTCAAGGCAGCTGGGACCATAGTCACCAAGAAAACAATTGGTAACACACTACGCCATGAAGGACTGAAATCCTGCAGCGCCCGCAAGGTCCCCCTGCTCAAGAAAGTACATATACAGGTCCGTCTGTGGCATCAACTCGCCGTGTTTGTAGGAGGAGGAATGCTGCCTATGACCCCAAGAACACCATCAAACATGGAGGTGGAAACATTATGCTTTGGGGGTGTTTTTCTGCTAAGGGGACAGGACAACTTCACCGCATCAAAGGGACGATGGACGGGGCCATGTACCGTCAAATCTTGTGTGAGAACCTCCTTCCCTCAGCCAGGGCATTGAAAATGGGTCGTGAATGGGTATTCCAGCATGACAATGACCCAAAACACACGGCCAAGGCAACAAAGGAGTGGCTCAAGAAGAAGCACATTAAGGTCCTGGAGTGGCCTAGCCAGTCTCCAGACCTTAATCCCAAAGAAAATCTGTGGAGGGAGCTGAAGGTTCGAGTTGCCAAACGTCAGCCTCGAAAACCTTAATGACTTGGAGAAGATCTGCAAAGAGGAGTGGGACAAAATCCCTCCTGAGATGTGTGAAAACCTGGTGGCCAACTACAAAAAACATCTGACCTCTGATTGCCAACAAGGGTTTTGCCACCAAGTACTAAGTCATGTTTTGCAGAGGGGTCAAATACTTATTTCCCTCATTAAAATGAAAATCAATTTATAATATTTTTGACTTGCGTTTTTCTGGATTTTTTTTTTGTTATTCTGTCTCTCACTGTTCACATAAACCTACCATTAAAATTATAGACTGACCATGTCTTTGTCAGTGGGCAAACGTACAAAATCAGCAGGGGATCAAATACTCCCCCCCCCACTGTGTGTGTGTGTGTGTGTGTGTGTGTGTGTGTGTGTGTGTGTGTGTATATATATATATATATATATCTCTCCTTTGGAAAGTATTCAGACCCCTTGACTTCACACTTTTTTTTTTTTTTTTACGTTACAGCCTTATTCTAAAATGGATTTAAAATAATAATAATTCTCAGCAATCTACACACAATACCCCATAATGACAAAGCAAAAACGGTTTTTTAGAAATGCAGGTGCATCCTGTTCCCATTGATCATCCTTGAGATGTTTCTACAACTTTGTTGTTTACCTGTGGTAAATTTAATTGATTGGACATGATTTGGAAAGGCACACAACTGTCTATATAAAGTCCCACAGTTGACAGTGCATGTCAGGGCAAAAACCAAGCCGTGAAGTCCAAGGAATTGTCCATAGAGCTCCAAAACAGGATTGTGTCGAGGCACAGATCTGGGGAAGGGTACCAAAAAAATTCTGCAGCAATGAAGGTCCCCAAGAACACAGTGGCCTCCATCATTCTTAAATGGAAGAAGTTTGGAACCACCAAGACTCTTCCTAGAGCTGGCCACCCGGCCAAACTGAGCAATTGAGGGAGAAGGGCCTTGGTCATGGAGGTGACCAAGAACCCGATGGTGACTGACAGGATCTGTACTTTGCTCTGTTCATCTTTCCCTCGATCCTGACTACTCTCCCAGTCCCTGCCGCTGAAAAACATCCCCACAGCCTGATGCTGCCACCACGCTTCACTGTAGGGATGGTGCCAGGATTCCTCCAGACGTGACGCTTGGCATTCAGGCCAAATAGTTCAATCTTGGTTTCAACCAGAGAATCTTGTTTCTCATGGTCTGAGAGTCTTTAGTCAAACTCCAAGCGGGCTGTCATGTACCTTTTACTGAGGAGTGGCTTCTGTCTGGCCACTCAACCATAAAGGCTGGATTGGTGGAGTGCTGCAGAGATGGTTGTCCTTCTGGAACGTTCTCCCATCTCCACAGAGGAACTCTGGAGCTCTGTCAGAGTGACCATCGGGTTCTTGGTCACCTCCCTGACAAAGGCCCTACTCCCCAGATTGCTCAGTTTGGCTGGGCGGCCAGCTCTAGGAAGAGTCTTGGTGGTTCCAAACTTCTTCCATTTAAGAATGATGGAGGCCACTGTGTTCTTGGTGACCTTCAATCCTGCAGAATTTTTTTGGTACCCTTCCCCAGATCTGTGCCTCGACACAATCCTGTCTTGGAGCTCTACGGACAATTCCTTGAACCTCATGGCTTTGTTTTTGCTCTGACATACACTGTCAACTGTGGGACCTTACATAAACAGTTGTGTGCCTTTCCAAATAATGTCCAATCAATTTAATTTACCAAAGGTGGACTCCAATCAAGTTGTAGAAACATCAAGGATGATCAATGGAAAGAGGATGCACCTCAGCTCAATTTCGAATCTCATTGGAAAGGGTCTGGATACTTATGTAAATAATATATATATATATATATTTTTTTAATACATTTGCAAAAAGTTCTAAAAACCTGTTTTTGCTTTGTCATTATGGGGTATTGTGTGTAGATTTTAGAATAAGGCTGTAACAAAATGTGGAAAAAGTCGAGGGGTCTGAATACTTTCCGAATGCACTGTATGTATGTACAGCTGAAGTCGGAAGTTTACATACACCTTAGCCAAATACATTTAATCTCAGTTTTTCACAATTCCTGACATTTAATCCTAGTAAAAATGCCCTGTGTTACGTTAGTTAGGATCACCACTTTATTTTAAGAATGTAAAATGTCAGAATAATAGTAGAGAGAATGATTTATTTCAGCTTTATTTCTTTCATCACATTCCCAGTGGGTCAGAAGTTCACATACACTCAATTAGTATTTGGTAGCATTGCCTTTAAAATTGTTTAACTTGGGTCAAACGTTTTGGGTAGCCTTCCACAAGCTTCCCACAATAAGTTGGGTGAATTTTGGCCCATTCCTCCTGACAGAGCTGGTGTAACTGAGTCAGGTTTATAGGCCTCCTTGCTCGCACACGCTTTTTCAGTTCTGCCCACAAATGTTCTATAGGATTGAGGTCAGGGCTTTGTGATGGCCACTCCAATACCTTGACTTTGTTGTCCTTAAGCCATTTTGCCACAACTTTGGAAGTATGCTTGGGGTCATTGTCCATTTGGAAGACCCATTTGCGACCAAGCTTTAACTTCCTGACTGATGTCTTGAGATGTTGCTTCAATATATCCACATAATTTTCCTTCCTCATGATGCCATTTATTTTGTGAAGTGCACCAGTCCCTGCTGCAGCAAAGCACCCCCACAGCATGATGCTGCCACCCCCATGCTTCACGGTTGGGATGGTGTTCTTCGGCTTGCAAGCTACCCCCTTTTTCCTTCAAACATAACGATGGTCATTATGGCCAAACAGTTCTATTTTTGTTTCATCAGACCAGAGGACATTTCTCCAAAAAGTATGATCTTTGTCCCCATGTGCAGTTGCAAACCGTAGTCTGGCTTTTTTTAATGGCGGTTTTGGAGCAGTTGCTTCTTCCTTGCTGAGCAGCCTTTCAGGTTATGTCGATATAGGACTAGTTTTACTGTGGATATAGATACTTTTGTACCTGTTTCCTCCAGCATCTTCACAAGGTCCTT